GTGTGTGTGTGTGTGTGTGTGTGTGTGTGTGTGTGTGTGTGTGTGTGGTTGTTCACAGTGCTACAGCTTTTTGTAGCCAATAGTAAATATCCTCTTGATTTTCTAGAAGTTCATTGAAATGGCAACACTAGGGATTTTGGTAGCAAGATGTACCTAAGCAAGGAGCTAGAGAGGATGGCTCAGAGTTCCAGAGCATGCACAGTTCTTATAGAGGACCAGAATTCAGTCCCCAGCACCCATGCCAGGTAGCTCACAATCACCAAATCCAGCTGCAGAGGATCCAATGCCCTCTTCTGACTTCTGAGAGCACCTGTTCCCATGTGACACACACACAAATTAAAAGAAAGTCTTTTTAAAAATTAAGAATTTGCCAGGCACAGCAGCAAAACCAATACTCCAAGTACTCAGGAGGCAGGAGACAGGTGGGTCTCTGAATTTAAGGCTAGCCTGGTCTACATAGCAAGTTTCAGGACAGCCAAGGAGTACACAGAGAAACCTTGCCTCAAAAAGAAAAAGATTTTACTAAACAAGATTCTTATAAAATGAATGTTTTCTAATGTTGCTATTATGTTATAATAATACTTTAATATATTATGATTACATAATATGATGCTTTGTTAAGACAACATTTTGTTTCCCCGTTGGTCGATTAATGGACATATGGACTATTTGCACCTCACGGCTATGTGAACAGGGTTGGTGTGGACAGGGTGCAGCTGTCTACATCACTGCGAAGGTCTTACTACTCTAAGAACATCCCACCGTTATTTGGCCCAGAGTTCCAAATGCATTACGGGAAGGCTTCAGCGAAGTGTTGAGCATGGATAGCTATAACTTCCGTTTCTAATCAAGAATGAAAACTTGGGGCTGGAGAGATGGCTCAGCGTTTGAAAACACTTCCTGCTCTTGCAGAGGGCCCCAGGTTCGGGTCCCAGAACCTCAACTTCAGCTTCAGCAGACCGCTCTTTTGGCCTCTGACTTATTCACACATGGCATACACACACACACACACACACACACACACACGAGCATGCACACACCCGTGTGCGCTCACATATACACACACTCAGGGAGGGGGTGCAAATAAAAAAACAATAAATTTCTTCAAAAACTAATGATAGATATATAAGCAAGTGAGAGCTGGTTTTAAGGAGTTATTTTTTTTATTTGATCCTAAGTGTAATGTTACAAACTTGTGCAAATGAACATTGCTCATAAACTTATAGGAAATGATTTTATCAAAGAGGAATTAGATTCTTGATTCTTTTAAATATTTTTATAATCTTTTAAAGCTTGGGGATGAAACAAAGAAACTCATTCAGCAAACACAATCTCTAGAATGTAGTTTGGAAAAAGAGATGAATAAAAATGAGGAATTGATGATAGAGCTAACTGGGTAAGATTTTAACGTTTCAAATCTTTTTAGTCGTTAATTAGCTTCATTGAAATTTTTATTTTGTGTTTTTTGAGAATATCATATATAAGTGCCATAATTGGTTTACTCCCCCCCCCAAATTCTCCAAACCTCTCTCAAATTCATAGCCCGTTTTTCTTTAATTTTTACTGTTACACATATATGTGTATATGAATTTATAAATACAATCTCCTGAGTTGAGTTTCTACTGCTCCTCTGCGTGTATCTGAGAGATGACCTCTTGGTATCGTGTAAGTTCATCGTAATTTCTTTAGATTATCTTATGTGTACGTTGTTGTGTTGTGTTGTACCTCCATGTATATACCTATGTACCACACACATGCTGGTGCCCACCAGAAAAGGGTGTGAGATCCCCTGGAACTGGAGTGTCGGGTGATTGTGAGCTGCCATCTGGATGCAGGGAACCTAACTCAGGCCCTCTTCAAGAGCCCGAGTGTGCCCAAACTCAGTCATTTCCCCAGCTCCTAGAGCGCTTCTGTGTCAGGCTCTTTGGAGGCTGCTCAACAAGCTGCTTGTAGATTCTTTGTTGAGGTTGTTCCTGGGAGAGCAACAACTATGACGGGGGCTGGGGGGAGGGCTCACCTGTATAGGTGTGTGATGACTGTGAAGCCAGAGTGACCTTTCCAATTTTAACTGAGTAAGGGGAACAATAGTGTCATCTTCTGTAAGAAACACGACATGTCAAATAGGCGTACTAACTGAGAATAAGAGAATGGAGAAAATGCAACAAGCAAATGGAAGCTGAAGCACAATTAGGCATGCCTAAATGCACATCTGATGGAGCGGCGTTGAAGACAAGATTCGAAGAGGCGTCGAAGGCCCCTGCATATTAACGAATGCAATTCATGTGCTGTCTAGACTCGTGGTTTTAAATAACCCAAGAAACTGCTAAATTGAAGGCTAGATGAGAATGCCCTTAACAGAGTGAGTCCTGCAGAATGTCCCAGATACATCATCTAGAAGCCCACACTGCATCCCCAAAGATAAATAACATTTTAGGCCAAATAAATAAATAAATAAAAGCACATCTTAATACATATAAGAAAATCAAAATGATTTCCTGATTCTTTGGGGTCATAATGGAATGAAGCTTGAAATCGGTAGGAAGAAAAATTACAGATCCTTGACAAACACATGGGTAGTGAGCAGAGCAGCACTAAATGAGCCTCGTTAGCAGTGAACACTCACTCTCGCACCACGCTGGGTCCCGTCCTCCCTGAGGGCTTCTTGCATGCACTTCCATTTCTTCTTGTGTGCCAGAGCAGACAAGCGCCAAACTGCATATTTGGATCTTTGAGTGACATTCATGTGTGCTTGCCTGCTTCACCCGGGTAACTACTCTCTGAGTTACAACTAATCTTTAATATTTGTCTGTGTTCCATGCTGAAATGGATAATAGTTATAAGACAACTAAATGCGGTTATAACGCTTATTCCTTCTATGCTACAAATGTCACAGTTTTTTTTCTTTACATTATTTACTTAAGATTATAATTTTACCCAAGAGCCATGACTATTTAATGAGAACCCCATGGGACGTCCCTTTCTGAGTTATTGGTCAGAGTTATCCAAGAGACTCCATAAACATTATAAGCATTGATGCTGCCATTAGCTACCTCCCAGAGGCTGAAGTTAAGTTCCTATTGTTGAAAACACCAAGCTCTTCAGACACATGGCCCAGGGGCCCCTGGGCAGGGACCAGCCTGAATGTCAACCCCTAGCTTTTATGGTAGCAGAAGGTGCCATGCAAAGATTTCAAGGGTGAAAACAGGCGATAGTCCTACCCAGCCGTCCAGCATGACAGACACAATATCCATAAAGGTGCAATAGTGGAATGCATACTTTGGGTAATCAAAGGCCAAAGTTCTCTTTAGGCCCACTCAACAAAGGAAATGGTGCCTGGCACGGAAACCTAGGCAATCACATAGGACCACTTGTAGAAACACCTACAACTGCCTCTTTTTGAAATAGACAGGGACACTTACAAAACACACACATACACCCCCACACACAACTGATCAACAAAGAACAAGTGATTGTGTGGTACCCAGCCCCAACTGATTCGTCCTAACACAGCTCCTGCACCTAAGGCTCAGGGATCAGGGCAGAAGGAAGGGGTGGACAGATTGTAAGAGACAGACGAACATGAAGCTTGTTGTGAGATTGTGTCTCCTGGAACTATCAAAAAGCTACAAACATGAAATCTCACCAACATGACTGTGTAAACAAGACTTGAGCAAGGATGATACCAACAGGTACACCAACACGGAAGGGGGAATCTCATAGGGCTTCGCATGCAGACACAGAACTGCAGGCAGCTAAGGAATACTGAGAAAGGAAGGAACAGTTTCCCCAGGGAAAAGCCTGTAATGATTATCCAATACCAAGAGGTCATGTTGAAATTATATACACACAAGTATCATACATGGGCTGAGCAGGTTGTATTTGTATATTTAGAACTATTTATATGACCAGGTAGTGGTAGCACACACCTTAAATCTCAGCACTCAGGAGGCAGAGGCAGGTGGAGCTCTGTAAGTTCAGGCCAGCCTGATCTACAGAGCTAGTTCCAGGACAGCCAAGGCCACACAAAGAAGCCCTGTTTTAAAACAAGAAACAAACAAACAAACAAACAAACAAAAAGTGTGTGTGTAGCAACAATTTAAAAAAAATAAAGGCCATAAATTTGAGGAAGAGAGGTACATAGGAAGAATGGATGGGGGAAAGAAAAGGAGGAAACTGTGTAATTGAATTTTCATTTCAAAAATATAAAAATTAAGATTGTAACTTCAGGCTGGAGAGATGCTCAGCGGTTAAGCGCGCTGGCTGCTCTTCTGGAGGACCCAGGTTCAATTCTTGGTACGCACATGGCGGCTCACAGCCACTGTGACCCAGTCCTGGAGAGCTAGCACCCTCTCTGGCCTCCGTGAACAGGACACATGTATGTGGTACACACAGATACATGGTAGGCAAGGCTCTCGTGCACACAAAGTATTATTTAAAGATTATAATTCATTAGAATACTTTCCATTCACGTTGGGTTGAGACAAATGAGATGTTTGTAGCTTACAGTTTTGTTCCTTAGTACGATATTGTATATTATAGTTAAGATTTTAAATATTGACTCTGAAAACATTCACATGCCAATTCTGTACACTTTTACAGATTTAAGAAATTCTTTGAGGAGACAAAAAAGAAGTTAAATAAACATGAAAGCAGAGAGCTTAGTGGTCCTGGAGATTTAAAAACCAGCCAATTTGATATGCATATTCCAATTAATACACTGAGGCATGAGGTAATTTCAGTAATCTAGATTCATTATTTCTTGCTTTGGGGAAATACAGCTATGTGTTCATTGGCCAGCAAAGCAAAGATTCAAAAAAAAAAAAAAAAAAAAAAAACACCACCACCAACAACGTCACTGTGCTGGTATCAATGAAATGCATTATGCTGATTCTCTTTATATCTTCATCTGACTTTTATGTGTTTGAGTGTGTCTGTGTACCGTGTGCATGCCTGCGCACTACATGCAAGCCTAGTGCCCTCAGTGCCCTCAGAACAGGGCATGGTATCCCATAGACCTGGAGTTACAGCTGGTTGTGAGCCAGCACGTGGATCCGCGGTACCAAACTCAGGACCTCTGGAAGAGCAAGGACTCTTAACCACCGAGCCATCTCTCCAGCTCCACCTAATGCTGGCAGATGACCCAACAGTCAGCAACGCACCATTCCGATGTCCGAAAGCAGAAGCACCCTGTGGGTTCCGTGTGCTCACAGCGCCACCTGGAGGTAGCTGACAGACCGCAAAAGCCAGTCAATTGAAATACACATTACAATTCAGTAACTTCGAGTCTATGCACGGATACGCAAATAACATCGCAAGCTTTTAGTGTTTTTATCATCCACGTATGTCCTACACCTCTTAGTGATTGCTCTTTCGTGCTGAGAGGTAGGGAACCAAGTACACTTAACTGCTGTCAAGACGTCTGTCCGAACAGCTGGTGTGTTCACAGTCAGCGTCCTAGCCGCCTTTGTGTCTGACTCCTGTTCCTGAGCATGGTTCTTTCCTTGTTCAGCCTGTTCTGAAACCTGCAGGTACTCCGGCTGGCTTCGGAGCAGAGGCGCTGCTGAGTCAAATGACAGCCCCGTCCCTGCTGTCCTAAGAAGCCACCAGCTCCACCGGCCTTTCCTTCTCTAGGGGCCGCAGTCTTCTATCCTCCAGTCCTTAAGGGGCGCTGTAACTTCTCCACTTCCATGCCAACACTCATCTCTTCACATTCTGTCTGTTTTGAGACGGGCTCTCAACCATGTATCCCTGGCTGGCCTCAAATTTACAGAAGTCCACCTGCCTCTGCCTCTGGAGGACTGGGATTAAAGGTATGAGTCCCCACATCTGGCTTTTTCTATCTTTTTAACTAAAGCAAGTTTCCATGAAGTGGTGGGTAGGTCACAGGAGTTTCCATTTGCGTTCCCCTAATGGGGCACAGGAGTCTCTGTGGACCTACTGGCCATTAGCGGAAGCTCCTTTAGAGAAAAGTCTATCTAGATTGTCTCTCCAACTTTAAACTGGATTAACTGCACTGGTATTTGTAGAGGTTCCTGTGTATCATGAATTCTTTACCAGGCACACACACTTTCCAGTATTTTCTTCTATCCAGCTTCCCCTTGTACTCTGTAATGGTGTTTCTGAAGTGCACTGACACTTTACAGATGGAGTCTTCTTGGCTGTTTGTGCTTTAATGTCCTAACACAGAGTTTTGCCTAATCCAGTCATGATGACATATGCCAACATAAGCCTAGTGCCCTCAGTGCCCTCAGAACAGGGCATGGTATCCCACAGACCTGGAGTTACAGATGGTTGTGAGCCAGCACGTGGATCTGCGGTACCAAACTCAGGACCTCTGGAAGAGCAAGGACTCTTAACCACCAAGCCATCTCTCCAGCTCCACCTAATGCTGGCAGATGACCCAACAGTCAGCAATGCACCATTCCGATGTCCGAAGCAGAAGCACCCTGTGGGTTCTGTGTCCTTTTCCTAGAATTTTGCGCCTGTCACTTCATACTTTAATGTTGCATTTTGAGTGAATTTTACTTGTGGTGTTTGATGCTCACCCTTCCCCACTTTAGCTCTCAAGCCTCCTGTTCTTGCAGGCCCTGGGCCCTGATTGGCATGCAAATAAGGTTGGAAAGAGGGCCAGTCAAGGAGGAGCTGTCAAAAAGCTACCAGCAGCTCCAGGTGCTATGACATGACAGCACCTGTTACTTTTCTGACCTGATTCCGCTTGGGGCCCTGAGTGTTAAAGCCTAGGGCCATCATCAGGGCACCCATTTGGGACAGGAAGCTCCTTAGGCAGTGAGGATTAATCTGACCTCTTAAGTCTTGCATAGGGTGGAGACAGCTGGCCTTTGAAGCTATTCTTTCTCTCTTCCCCGTGGACACATCCAGTGTTCCATCTAGTTCTCTCTTCTGCTACTTCCCCCTTCCCTCTCATGGCCTCAGATCTCGGTCGTAGTACTATTGAGCCAGTTCACTGTTGACAGCATTTCAGTTTTGTCAGTTCACCTTCGCTCACGTACAGTCACGTCACTGTTTTTACCAACTCAGAAAAGAGACATAAACTCAGCTTGTCTCACTGGAAATTAAACTAATGGTCATTCACTGCTTAGCAGTTAGATTACCTTTTGATACGGCGTAGTTGTGATTTTTCTGGGGAATAGTATATCAGTGACAGACCAAAGCTGGGCATGGTGTCACATGCCTTTCATCCCAGCACTCAGGAATCAGAAACAGGCGGATCTCTGTGAGTCTGAGACCAGCCTGGTCTACATAGTGAGTTCCAGGACAAACACAGCTACATAATAGAAAAAAACAAAACAAAACCAAAAACCTATCTCAAAAGAGAGAGAGAGAGAATGTAACTAAATAAGAAAAAATTAAAAAAAGAGAGAGAGGAGAGAGAAGAGAGGAGAGGAGAGGAGTGGAGGGGAGAGGAGAGGATAGGGGAAAAGAAAAGAGGGGTGGGGAGGAGAGGAGGGGAAGGGAGAGGAGAGAGGAGAGGAGAGGAGGGGAGGGGAGGGGAGAGAGGAGAGGAGAGGGAAGGGGAGATGAGAGGGGAGAAAAGAAGAGGGGAGAGGAGAGGAGAGGAGGAGAGGAGAGAGGAAAGGAGAGAGAGAGAGGAGAGGAGAGAGAAGAGAAGAAGAAAGAAGAGAAAAGGAGTCCACTCAAGCCTGATGAGTTTTTTGTGCTAACTGTCAGGAGCCTGGGTTGCTCCCATCAGCTGTATCACCCAAAAAGTCATTCTCGGCATGAATGATGAGTCATGAAAGCTGCATCCCAGGAGTTCTCAGCAGCTCCCCTTGGAGTGCCCTCTCCCCAGCATTATTGCCTTCAAAACCCTGAGAAAGGCCTTGCCAGCCGTGTAACTGGAGTGAGTTTCTGCGCTGTGGACATCCTTGGCTTCCTGGGCCCTAGGAGCCTCTTTCCCCCTCCAGCAAAAAGTGTCAGCGTGGAGGAAAAAGTTACAGAGTATCTGTGCTAGAAGGTTGATCTTCTTCACAGCACCAACTTAATTCTCAGACACTACATCCTCTTGATATTCACCTTCCTGCACCACTAGAGATGCCCAGTCCAGCCCAAGATTCACAGGGCAATACGTCAGTCCATTCATGTCCAGAGGACAGTTCCTAAACATCCTGGAGTATCTGGGCAACACATCAATGAAAATTATGATCACAGCGATAATCAAAGTATCGCTCCCCAAGAGAAATCCATATGCAAGTTATATCAACCAGACTGCTGAAGTTAGTCTTAATCCCAGAGCTTTGAAGGTAGAGGCAACTGGATCTTTGTGAGTTCAAGGCCAGACTGCTCTACATAATGAGTTCCAGGCTAGTGAGGGATACATAGTGAGACCCTGTCTTAAAAAAAAAAAAAAAAAAATAGTAAAAACTAGTTGCCAAAAGGTACTCGGATTCAGGAGAGGGTTTCATGGCAGAATGTGTAGGTCATGTTTTAATCGTAGAACATCATTGTATCCAAAGGGAAGTCATCCAAACTGAGCCGACTAAATTTTGTCATTATCATTATTTAATATACGCCTGTATTTTATGGAATGAGTCAAAAGATTACAAGACAGTGCTCTTGAATCAGAACATTTTTGTTTTAAAAACAAAAAGAAAAAAAATGTCACTAGATCGACCTCCAGATTCCATTGCTTGTTGCTCTGAGTCATTCTTTAGAATATAGTTCATATTGAAATATTTGCAGTTCGGAGGACAATGGCTTCAGAATCCATGCTAATGACACACGTTCATTAGAGACTCCTTTTCAAGGTCTTTTGTGGGCAAAGGCATTCGTTAACACAGATGCATGTAACTGAAAACCACTCTGTTAAAGCTTGCTTAGACATTACAGGCACTGAAAGTGGGAAGAAAGGGCCAGAGGCTTCTGCCAGTGTGGACTTATTGCCCTGTTATTAAGGAAAGAGTAAAGAAGGCATGGGAAATGACAGCTGTGGCTCAGGTCTAAGTGTCCAACAAAGGCAAGGCATGTGAAGAGCACAATTTTGTCACTCCTGCTGGGTTTCACTTTGTTTATTTTCTGGGTAATTCTAATAGTCTAACAGTCTACTACAGAGTATAACTTATAATCTTATCACAGCTGAACTAGCATCCTCTGTCTATTGGCTTTATGCTAGACTAGTCTCATTTTCTGTCCTTTACCATGAAACCACATTATTTATCCATACAGTTCCACAATCTGAAAGAAAATTGGGACACTACCTATTACAAGTACCTCCACATGGTTGTAAAGCTTCAGTTTATCGAGCAGGAGCTAATAGCAATTAAAACCGAGCAAAAGAAGTGTGGCCGCCTACTCAAGAACCAGGAGAGCTTAGAAGAAGAAGTGCTCCACTTCAGAAGGTGGATGAGAGAGAAAGCGGTAGGTGGCGGGGAATGGAGAGGAGAAGACAACGTGAGGAGAGCCGGCAGCTTGCAGGAGGCTTTGCTGCTGCTGCTGCTGCTGCCAGCCTGTAATGTGCTTGAATTCATTTCAGCACAGTGGTAGTGCAGATTACACACACACACACACACACACACACACACACACACGCACACACGCACGCACACACACGCATTTCCTCCTCTGCCAATAGCAGCTGGCCTGGAGGGTTTTGGGACGCCATCTGTCTCTAAGGTTTTCAGTGTATGTCATTCTCATTTCTTTTGTATTACTGAAGTAAAACCCTGATAAAAACAGCTCAGGGAGGGTGCTGGATAGTTTCATGTCAACTTGACTGGAGCTAAAGTGACCTGAGAGGAGGGAGCTCCAATTAAGAAAATGCCTCCATAACATCCTGGTTTCTTAATTATCAATTGACGTTGGAGGGCCCAGCCCATCGTGGGTGGTGCCAGCCCTGGGCTGGTGGACCTGGGTTCTATAGAAAGCAGGCTGAGCAAACCATGGAGAGCAAGCCAGTAAGCAGCACCCCTCCACGGCCTCTGCGTCAGCTCCTGCCTCCAGGTCCCTGCCCTGCTTGAGTTCCTTACTTCCTTCAGTGATAGACCACGATGTGGAAATGTAAGCCCAGCAAATCCTTTCCTCCACAGCTTGTTTTTGGTCACGGGGTTTCTCATAGTAATAGCAACCCCAAGACAAGAGGGAAAGGCTTACATGCCCTGCCCACAGGCCGTCTCTCGAGAGAAGCCAAAGCAGGAACTCAAATCAAGCAGGGCAAAAATTGATGAAGCAAAAGCGACGAAGGAGCCCGCTTACTGGATCCCCGAGGCGGTACTCAGCCTGCTTTCTCATATGGCACAGGAACACCAGCCCAGAGCTGGCACCACCCACAGTGAGCTGGGCTGGCCCACACCCATCACTAACCAAGGAAATGCCTTATATACCTATCAAGAAAAAAAAAAAAAAAAAAAAAAAAAAAAACAGATTGATCTTCCACAATATTTTAATTAGACAATCGTTTGCATTTTAAGACAATTGAGAAGAAAAACTTCTGTATGAAAGTTAAAACATACTCTTAAATATTTCTTCAGTTACAGCTATGTTTTTAATTTAATTGACTCTTTTCTTCTGTGAGTTATGAACCTACATGAGAGCAACACAGAACTGAGGTGGCAAACACAGGGACTCGGGTTCAAGCTTCACCACCATTCGAGGGAAAACAATATATTATTTTATGTTTTAAATGTTTTCAATCAGGCTTTTGTTTGTCTTGTTTTGTTTGATGCAAGGGTTCATTATCTAGACCAGACTGACCTCAAATTCACAGAGATCCACTTGCCTCTGCCTCCCGTGTGCCACCGGGCCTGGCTTTATGTTTTAAATGTAATGCAGTTGACATTAGAAATAAAAAATTTAAATCCCAGCATCTTATTTAACATACTTAAAAGAGCAAAGTCATTGTTTGAGGGTTACTTATTTTTGGAATTTTGTACTTTGCTTTAGACCCAAGCAAGAGATCAAAACAACATAGAGAGTTTAAGGGACACCAATGACGCCACAGCACTAAGGCAGATGGATCTCAGAATCAGAAGCCTGGAATCTCAGCTGGCCACGAGGGGAAGTCAGCACAGGCTCCACAGAGGACTGCTAGAAGACTCGCAGCACTGTGCAGAAGAGCAGAGCGTGACACAGCCACTGAAAACAGAACTGGGCCAGCAAGCCCAGCGGAGCCCAAGGAAATAGCCACACGTGTTGTTTTGTCTCTGCCATGGGTTGACGGGTTGCGGGGAATAGATCTCACAGCTGACTGGAGTTAGAAAACTAATGTGTACTTGTCTTCCCCTTTCGGTTTGGAGTTCTGTGGCCTTTTACCCCCTAATGCTCTCATGTAGCTAACCTGATCCATTAGTCTTTTAGCTTAATATTCTAAAACTTTCCAAATAAGGCATTTTTATTCTTACTAAACTGTTTTTCTCCATTTTATTAAATAGAACCTTTAACATGTGTAACTACTTGAGGACTATTCCTTGAATGGCAATGGACGGGGAATGACACTCTTCCCCTGGCATTTCTGACATGGGGCAGACTTTCCTGGATTGGGATTTTCAGTATCACCTATTGAAGGGTCTCTGTCGCTAGCTGGTTTTCTAGTTTGTGTGAAGACATACTTATGACACAAGAAGGAAACACACAAAGGAAGGGGAAAGTGATTCACAAAGTCATCAAAATAACTCCATGCTCCACCCTGGATAGCTTGGTAATGTCACCATAATGGACTCAGGAGCCACCCTCATTCTTTCTCATCACCAACTCAGTCTGTTCCCACCCCCCCAGAGACTGCTGCTCTGAATCACCCCTCAGTGTCAAATGCTCACTTTATCCCAGGTCTCAGGTACTTAAAATGACTTCAAGGAACGGTTTTTTTATGTCCCAAGCAATAAAATACAAATTATTTCTAGATTGGTTTTCAGTTTTATTTTTAATTAAGTATACTTAAGAGCACAATAATTATTAATAAACATATGCATATCGTACAAGTATTGGGGATGGAGAGACTGCTCAGGGGTTAAGAGCACTTGCTGCTTTTCCACGGGACCCAGGTTCAAGTCCCAGCATCTATAGCTACAGTCCCAAGGGATCCAAATCTCTCTTCTGGCATCCAAGACTACTATATGCATACAGTACATGACGTATATGCAAGCAAAAACCCATGCACATAAAATTAAGGTAGAGGAACATTTTATGGCATCAAGACTTTAAATTTGATTTCGTTCCTTATGTGCACATGAGTACGGGTGTTCACAGAGACCCAGATCCCCCTGAGCTGGAGTTACAATTGGTTGTGAACCCCTGTTGTGGGTGGTGGGAATTGAACTTTGGTCCTCTGGAAGAGCAGCATGTGATCTTAACTTCGGAGCCATCTCTCCTGTCCCCCAAATCCAATAGTTTTGTAAGTGGATCCCTTCTTTCCTGAAGGCAGCAATGATATCTCTCAAGTCATCTCCCTCGTTTTGTTAGAACTGCTGGTTGGTTCAGACTCTCTCTAGAAACATTTCTTTTAAGTAAGTTTAGATTGACAATTGTGCGCAGTCACGACGTCATCTTTAAGATGCTGTCTAAACGGAAATTCTGCTTCATCGCAAGACTCCTTTTAAGAAACAGTCATTTGGGAAAGGAGATGCTGTCCGAACTTCACAACCTTCACACAACTAAAGGGGTGGCCAGCCCTCAAGCTCTGCAGGATTAACAGCGGGAGAGAATTTGACCAAGCATTCTAAGGGGAAGCCTGCCCTGTGTGCCCTTATAATGAGCAGCTTTGTGGCAGTATTGTAATGGGGTTCGTGGCCCCTGGGAAAAGACTATAGCCTCGATGCAATTATAATGAAAAGATTTATTGATTAGCTGCTAGCAGGAGGACAGCCTTAAAGCCAAATCTCAAGCATGTCCTGAAGGAGGGTATGGAGAAAGGATTTAAATGGGAAAACCACAAGAAAACCTTCAATATCTATGCAAGCAATCAAAAAGTGGTCTGTTCTGCCAAGTTTAAGTAGTCAAGGCAACTTAAAACAATCTTTGGGTAGCTGTGCCAGCAAGACACAGAAGCAAAAAAGCAGTTAGTCATATCACAACATGTAGGTGTTCACAGCTGTACACTTTTTGGTGGGGTCACTGAGTCAGGACCGCACTGGTAACTTATCATCCAGACACTGGAGTCAAAGGCTGTCAGGCCAAAAAGCTGTGCAGTGGGGAAGCCAGCCTGGAGCAAGAGTGAGGTCGAGGCACGTCCAAACACTGAAAAGCTCATCTTCAGGCGGGAGTAGGACCGCTCCCTCTGTGCCCTGGGCCTGCATGTCCTGACACACAGCCTTATGACTCCCACCCACCCTCAAGGTGGTCATGGAACCTGGCGGCCAGGTTCTAGGTTAAACTTCCTCTCTCCTTCTAACGTCATGCCCAGCAGCATCTGGAATTCCTCTTCACGCAAATAAGCCATCTCCAGCACCTCAGCCCTAGCCAATGGTGTACATTGACCCGAAAGTGTATCCACCTCATTGTTATACTCCATTGTTTCTGAATGCTCTAACTCTCAAATGCGCATGTGACACTGGTGCTGAATTTGGGTGAGGCTCATTATAATTTGTAAAAACAAAACCACATCCCAGAAAGGAGCTGTGTCTACAAAGACGGAGAAGTTGAAATGTTTCAGGTCCATAGCCAGATTATCTTGAGCCATCTTTACTTCCTGAATAACCATCACTGTCCACCCTAACACCCTTGTGACATCACTTGGAAGGTATGAATAGACCCCAAGTGTCCACCAAGCTGAGACTAAGACTACAGACAGACAGCATCTGAGGCTCACAACAGAAACCTTCCAGCTTGCTGCTGCCCACCTGCCTGGTCTCTTGAGTTAACGATTTTTTTCTGTTGCTTTAAGAACCTTATCCAACACTTGGGAACATGGACTTTGCATCTGCCCGAATCTGTGTTCCTGGGCCACGTAACTCATATTGAACTTCAGAACAAACCCTCTCTTACCTACCCCCTTTGACATAAGAGTTAATGTTTCTTAGTCAACAGATTCTTTTCAATATCGGACTTTGCTACTTATTTTAGAATCATTTTTTTGTCCATGCGTGGGACCACAGGACATGCTTTTTGTGACTGGCTGTGTATCTGCAAATAAACAATTTTTGTCTTTTTTTTTTTTAGATGCTGATTGTCTATTAGGCCCACTGTGTAAGCTCTGTGTGTTGTCTAGACAGGCAAGGCCCATACTCAATGAAAACCATGTTGTCACAGTCTCTGCTGTTTTGGTCACAGAAGCTGATCCATCTGTTTACAAGGCATTATGGGGATTATTTGAACAAGGCCAGACCTCATTTCTCAGCAGTAGCATGAATGTGCTCTGCCCTTAGAACAAATTCCACGGAGTCTATCCCTGTCCTGTGTCCCTTCTCTTCGAGGACTGGCCAGTGGTCCCCGAAGCCTGAGTCCCTGTTTGTATGTGCGATTTCCAGGAAACAGATTTCTGGTTAATTTGAATACCCGCCAATTCTCCAGGTCTCAACCCGAGGCTCTAAAACAAGCAAGCCAACAAGTCCACATGCCTGTTGCGGAGGGATTGGGGGGGGGGGTGAATAAATGAGCAGCTGAAGAAACCTGGGGTCAGAAGTCTCGATGGTGCAGCAAGCCAGCACTGAAGAGGACAGACAAGGCTCCAAGACTCTGTCCTCGCACCACGGAGTACTGTCAGCCCCTAGCGGCCTCACGGGAGCCTGTGACCAGCTGCCTCTCCTGATAGCACCTTGAGCAAGTTACCCAGGACCTGGAGCGCCAGTCTTCCTGGGACCCCTGGAATGTCACTGGAATGTGTAACAGGAGACGCGGCCTGTTGTTGCTGTTGTGTTTGTTTGTTTGTTTGTTTGTTTTGCCCACACAGCTGTATGTGCACCGTTTGTGTCTCTCTGCCTGTGGGGGCCAGGAGAGGGTACCTGGTCCCCTAGACCTGGAACTGGAATTACGGATAGTTGTGAGCCCCCAGGTGGGTGCTGGGAACTGCGCAGTCAGTGTTCTTAACCCCTGAGCCATCTCTCTAGCCCCAAGAGATAGTTTTCTCTCAGAACATTTCCATGTCCCTCATTGTCCTTTAGTAGGGCTCGGCTAAAGCCGCGGGTGTTTGCTTTTCGAGAAGAGCTGTAGCCACCTCTAGGTTACTCCGAACTGGCCTAGCAGCTGGTTTGGAATCGGTGGGAAGAGGGGGGAAGAGGGCGGAACCTGATGAAATCCTCAGTATAAGGGAGAGTGAGAGGATCAGAGGGCCTCGCCGGAGGAGGACATGCCCAAAAACCCAAAACAGGGAGGCCCTAGACGGGTCCACTGATCCTAGTGATTCAGAAATGCTTCAAAGAGCGAGGAGGGCCCAGCGGTCAGGAGGACCACAGAGCGCGGGGTGGCTCACTGCTGCCAGCAACTCCAGCTCCCGGTGACCCAACATCTATGGCCTCCTTAGGAACCTGCACACGCACAGACCTGTCCATATACAAGCATATACTTAAAAATAGACTTTTACAATTATTCTTCAAGCATGAGCTCACTAAGCCTCGCCAGTGCACATCCGTGTTCGTCGGGCAAAGTCCTCGTGTCATGGTACTGTCTTGTACCAGAGCAGCTAAGAGCCTCCGTGAAGACCAAGTGCGTGGGTCACTGCAAAGAGCTGAAGAGCCCTAAGTGACAGGTCCTGGGCCAGTGTGTTATATGGGTTGTGGACGATGCCACAAGACATGAAATTTCTGGGCTTCCTGACTGAAACTAGAAAAAAAATCACGTATACAATTGGAAATCACAGGCAGGTGAGGGGGTTTCTAGGCATGAGGGGTTATTGCAGAGCTTGGACATGTTGTTAAGCAGCCTTATTTTCATTTTACAGATTTGATTTGCCTGTGTGTATGTCTATGCACCACATGCATAAAGTGCCCACAGAAGCCAGAAGATGGCATTGAACCCCATAGAACTGGAGTTACAGACGGTTGTTAGCCGCCATGCGGGTGCTGGGAACTGAACCTGGGTCCTCCTTAAGAGCAGCCAGTGCTCCTAACTGCTGAGCCATCTCTCCAAATAATAGTTATTTGAAAGTTTCACACATTTATATAATAATTATATAATGCATGCTTTTATAATGTTGTTTAAAAAATAATTGATGAGTTCCAGGTGAGAGGCTTTGTCTCAAATAATAAGGTGGA